TTGGTTAGAAGATGGAGTGTTGGACTGTATCGATGGGAGAGATGAGGAGACCATCTGGCCCACTTGTGGAAAAGGTATTTCCTCGAGATTTGTCGAAGTTGAAGAAAACTGTCAAAATGTGCTGCTCTGTCCATGGAATGAACCTAGTCTTGTGGAGCTGAGAGATCTTTGTGATGGACTTGAAACCTGCGGAAATGAAAATAAAGTCTGCTCTGAGGCCCGGAGTAACCTAAGAATTTCTACGACTGTTCTGACAAGTGATAACGGTTTGAGTAAACATCTCTCGTTTTGCCTAAAAGGATTAAAAACCAGTGGACATCTTAAGGACTGCACAACGTTTCCATCATTCATCTTCCCAAATCACAATTTTTTTGGAGTAGCAGATAGAACTTCAGTGATCGTACCGAGAGAACTTCAAAGTTGTGACCACATGTATGGAGAGCTGTACGTGTACACCAGTTGTACTCACAAATGTATCAGCTCTCCTTGTCCATTAAAAAACATTCCTAGATACGAGGTGTGTCCTGAACAATACCCGAATAGGATAGGAACTGTAGCTAATAACAAATACCTAGCATTTTTCACAAAATCATTCGGAAGGTTCTACACAAACAGATATTTTGTTTGTGACAACAAAATCAAGTGTATCGACTACTCAAAAGTTTGTAATCTTGTGGATGACTGTGGAGATGGTTCAGACGAGGAATCCTGTACTAATCATTTTAAATGCAACTCAACAGGACATTACATACCCAAGACCAGTAAGTGTGATGGATTGTTTGATTGTTTGGACTTATCCGATGAATGCAATGTCCATTGTTCAAAACGTATTCTAGAGGGTTCTGCTTTAAACGTACTTTCGTGGTTCGTAGGATTTCTAGCTGTCCTAGCTAACGTTATCATTATTTTTAAAAGCGTGCCAACCTTAACTAGATGCAAGACAACAGTTGCTCTAATAAACAAATCGTTAGTCATTGCAATATCGGTCGGAGACTTGTTTGTCGGCTGTTACCTATTGATAATCTCTTTCTATGACGGGCTCATCTTTCGAGAAGATTATTGCCTTAAACAAATCAATTGGATTACAAGCTTCGACTGCTCAAAAATCGGTGTTCTTAGCACCGTAGGGTCTCAACTCTCACTATTTGCCATGTGTGGCCTGGGCCTTACCCGAATCTATGGAATATTCTATTCTATGAGAATGCCGGGAAAGGTGACCTGGCTATTTTCGTTGCAATTCGTACCGTGTTTGATAATCATGATCATATCATCACTGATCATCGCTGTCATTCCAATTGTTGGCAAATTTCAGGACTTCTTTGTCAACGGTGTAAACTTTCAAGACGACCTAAAAGTTTTTATAGGCACGCCAAACAAGCAGAAAATTTCAGCAGTCCTTGAATCGTACTACGGAAGAATGTTGGACACTAAACTGAGTTGGAGAATGATTTATAAAATGGTCAATGAAATGTATTCTCACGATTTTGAATACCCAGACCACACGACAAAAATCCAGAGGGTTGATTTCTATGGAAACGATGGAGTCTGCTTGTTCAAATATTTTGTCAAAAACGATGACCCACAAAGGGTGTTCGTGTGGATAATCCTTGCCTTGAACTTTGTGTGCTTCATATTGATTACAGTTTCGTATTTGGTGATTGGCTACATTTCTCGGAAATCATCTAATATTGTAGCAGAGTCTGACACCTATGAGTACATTTCCCAACGGAATACAAAAATGAACCGAAGAATCTCCATAATAATCATTACTGATTTCCTTTGCTGGATCCCCTTCATAGTGATCTGTGTCCTACACTCCCTTGAAGTGTTGGATGCAACTCCTTGGTATAGCGTATTCTCCGTGATCATCCTCCCGATCAACTCAGTCATAAACCCTCTGATTTATGACGATTCTTTGGTCAAGCTGATCAGTATCCCTATCCAGAGACTTATAATCACTATTATTAAAACACCTTTTTACCAAGCGCTAACAGAGACATTAACAAGATCACTCCCGAGTGTAATACGATCATTAAGAAAAATATGGAGAAGATCAACCACTACTGAAGCTTTTGAGGTAGGTGAAATTTATAGAACAGCAGAGCAAATTGGAGAAGAAGGAATTGAAAACCTCGCCACACATTCTCAGAATCCCACGCAGGAACGAATCAAGGACACTGCTTTGTAGTATAGGGTACTGAATTGGATGTTTCACTTGTAACAGAGTCGACTCTTTTTCAAGACTATGAAAATCTGAAATATGTGATCTGCCCTTTCAATCCCGTCGCTTAATCGGTGAGTAGGCCCCGATAGAGTTCTTGTATCGATATTCTCACACAGTTAAAATTTCAGCAGCGATTTTTCAAAGTTTCCAACAAACGAGTTTTCAATATCAGTTCATGTTTTTGTATAAATTATAGAGATTATACTGTGGACAGTATCACTATCTATAATCAATGGTTAGAATGTTAATTCAAATCTAGAAACAAATTGAAGTTATTGATTCCAGGACTTTATAGCTGACGAAATTTACCTAGAAATTTCACCACAGCGAGTCCCATATGATGATGGGCATTGGCATAACGTTACAATTTGTCGGAACATTTAGCTAAAACCTAATTTATCTGAAAGAAACTTTTACAGTGTCTTTAGTTTTATAACTTTTAAAAGCTTTATAATTTTTTAAAGCTATAAAGTCTACTGCTCTGTAAACACCTTTATCTTGGGTCTGTATTTATTATCATTATTTCACTTGATGTGATTAGCTAGCTCATGTTTCCGAGTTCTATTAATTAATTTAGAGGAATGTACGACATAAAATATACATAACAGGGGAATTTTGGATAAGAATCTTGGCACTTTTTGACCACTCATGATCCCAGGACTGTAGATTCTCTTTGTTGGTGTTATATCTTTGTTCTCCAGCATAATGTCATTCATGTCCTCGAACATTGTAAATGGAGCTGTTTTGCTGTATTATCCATGCGGCTGCATGCTATTAAAATGATATGGCAATATGTGCACAGAGGTCCATGCTATTAATACTCTATAACTACACAGTGGGATCACTATTCTCCTCAAAATACTGGGCTATCGTCCTAACAATGAGTCATTGTGAGACGAATGCTAAATATACGCATATGGAACGATATCTCGAGAACTGTATGATTGGTTTGGTAGCATTTACAATTTTATCGGGGCAAAAAAATCGTAATTCTTCTTCACTCAGCCTTAATCAGCTTGTGACTAATTGGGTATCTATTGTTGGGTATCTACTGTTGGGTATCTATTGTTCAATAATCCTTTGGAGAGCAGAGAGGTTATCGTAGGAATTATTGTGAAATTCAGTTACAAAATTTGCCCTACAAGATTAATAAAAAATTGATATTACAACCTTAATTATAACCAAATTTTTAAAAAGCTTTTGAGAACTTTTCGAATTTTTTCAAAAGTGAATCCTCAAAGACATTTATAAAAGTGCCAAAACAAATTACTTCTGTCTATATTTTCCAAATATGAAATCATTTGCCCCGCCAAATAATCAACGGTTTGGTGTATGTCCCAGCCTTAAGTAATTGATCTCGTCCGAATATGCATTTTTAGTGTGTCCATATGAGGCAAGCATTTTCATATCCATTGCTGATTTGTTTTGGTGTAAATATGTGTACTTAAACTTTATATTTTTGCCAATATTTCATATACCTTTCTCTAACTTATTACGTCAAATCAATCAAGTATCAATGGTTTGATCTGAATCACAAACTAGTCCAGAATGTACATTTTATTCTTGAAAATGTCCCTGAATTGTCTACTTTATTACTGACAGATTTACGAAATGCCGACTGCCGAGATGCAGTCGGCAAAAGTGTTGTTCTTCTTATTTATTTTAACAATGTTATACTCAGCTAACCTTTTACTTTCATATTCAGTCATGTGACATTTCAACTTCTATAACTGCTTAGTAACAGAACAGAATGTCTGCATCCGCGCAGTCAGCCGATCGTTATAAAACAGTAAACACGTAAGTGCCTCAACACTGATGAATAGTAATACTATTACTACAAATCCTACTACCTTATCGGACATAATTTGACCGGAGTCCGGACAATGCACGTGATCTGAATGGATATAATTCTAAACGAACATTAATACATTATCGCCCGAAGGCATTTCAAAAACCTTTTCGAAGTTTTCTATTTTTGGAGATCAAATAGTAACTCAAAGAAGTAAACGAGGAAGCTGAAGAAATTGATGCTATAATGTGATTTAGTTTTAGATAAACTTGTTACTTATTATAATTATATTAAACATTTTTATAATAACTTGTTTCTATTGATCCAATCATATTATTTACCCGATAGAAATTGAAATTAACCGAAATAAAAAAAAGATAATATCTTGGATAATAAGTTTGTAAATTAAAAACTTAATTACAATGTAATGGTATTCTTTTGGGAAAAGACTTCATTTGAACGGATAAACATATAAACGCTAGTACGTACCTCCAGCGTCCACTTGATGCGCGTTCAAATAAAGTCCGATAAGTTATGAAGATGATATTGAAGAATGGAGGACATTTCTGTTCGAACGATCCACATGTTTATCAAGCTTAAGTTGGGTGACATCACAGACGTTAGACCAAAAGTTAGAGATATTCAAATAACAAATGATGAGCGACTTTGTGCAAACTACTTGTGCTCGTACAAAGCTTATTCCAGATTACACTTTATACTCAAATTAATTAAACATATTTCTAACGATTGTGATGGCAAGGTTGGAATTTTTAAAATATAATATAGTAAATCCCAAATTTACTGCGCCCCAATTTACTGCGCCCCAATTTACCGAAAACCCCGATTTACCGCAAACCCCAATTGTTATTTACCGCAAACTACGCGGTTAGTCGAAGTGTTACTGCAGTGAACTGCAGATGAAGTAGGTTGCCTCATGATTCTATTATATTTATCGAGTTAGTTACATTGATAAATCAGCGTTTGTTTGTGGGTGATCCAACAAAAAGTTTTTTGCTCTACTGAGCACAGAGCAATCAACAAAATTATCCGTATCAACAAGTTTTCGTGATTTTTATGATAAAGCTTAAAATCGTAAAATAATTCACTTATTAACCTGAACTATTAAACGAACACGTGTCATGTATGATGATGTATGATATCCAGTTCATGATTCATTACAACTAAACAACTTGAACTATGCTATTCTGATTTTAATGATGTATCAAAACTCATGTTCGCTTGATCCAACAAAACTTCAAACATCCCAGTTTCGTTGACTAAATCGTAGAAAATACTTTCAGGTCTATTCAGAAGCAATGCAGGGTGGTCAAATTCAGCTAATTTACCCTCGTCGATCACCATTATACGGTCGCTATCAATAATGGTATTGATTCTGTGAGCTATGGTGAGGACAGTGCATTTCGAAAACTCTTGTCGGAGAGTCTGCTGGATCAGTTGGTCAGTTCGCTGAAATTATATAATTTGTTAGAAATAAGGTAAGGTGCCTAATTCAAGCGATTTGACATGATATTTAAAATATAAGATCTTAGTTTGCTACTAAGATATACCGACAATTTTCGAAAAATTCAACTCTGATCAACGAGCCAAGTTGAACAATTCATGATTTATTGTTCAGCGTTACAAAAATATGGAGTCATCCCTAGCGTAACCGGTAACACATTCATTCAGAATCGATGCAAAATCCCTACCTCGTCAACATTAGCAGTAGCCTCGTCAATAACCAGAAACTTGTTGTCCTTCAGCAAAGCTCTAGCGAGACACAACAGCTGTCTCTGACCAGCTGACAGATTCCCACCACCCTCCTGGACCATCATCTCCAGACCTCCAGTCTGGGCTGAAACGTACGATTTCAACTCTACCTTCTCTAGCGCGTCCCACAAGTAATCATCACTGAACTCAAAAAACGGATCAAGATTTACTCTCAGAGTTTCTGAAAACAAAAGACTCTCTTGAGGGATTATGCTGATTGATCTTCTGAGTTCATGAAGACCCATTTCTCTAGTCAACATTCCATCTAATAATATTTCACCTTCTGGTTCAACCATTCTGAAGAGAGCTTGAAGTATGGTACTTTTACCTGCACCAGTTCGACCAACAATACCTATCTTCTCACATGGTTTGGTTAAGAAGGATAGATCACGGAGAATGTAATCACCCTCAGGGTCGTACTTCAATCTAACGTTTCTAAACTCTATTACACCACTGGTAGCCACTTTATTGCTCACAACCATTGTTTTCTTATCTGTAACCTCTAAAGGAGCCTCTGAAGGCAAATCAGCAAACATATAAATCCGCTCCACAGCAGTCATCATGTTTTCTGTCTCGGTATATTGTCGTATACACCACTGGAATCCACTGACCATGTTGGTTATATAAACCACAGCCAAACCTGCTACTGAGGCACCCACGACTTCTTTGAGTAGTACAGTTAGAAATGTAGCAATTACACTGGTTAAGACAGTGAGACAATCAAGACGCAAGGAATACCAATGACTAGCAGCTTGAAATAATATCCAGCAACGAGTGTGTTCATCCCTTGCGTGGTAGTGCTTTGATTCGAATATTTCTATCTGAAAACAAATGATATTATGAATAACATAACCCCATTTTATGTTAGTAAAGTATTTATAAATACATTACCATACCAAGCACAGGAGGCATTATGAGTGAACTCAAAAGACATGTCGGTGTATAGAGTAAAAACCTGGTTGTTGGCACGAATAGTGGTCAATCCAGAAAGGGTCGCAGAAATATGTGACAAGATGGGACTACGTTCTGAAAAGATTCAATTAGATATAAGAAATTATAAAACCGTTTTATGATTGTTATATTTTGATAAGACTCGGGGAATAACACTCTATACCATTAGAATAGGTAATTCAAAAATTCGAACAATTCATATTTTTGGTTTTAAGATACGTACTCAATGCCTCAATTCGTCTTAATTCAACAGACGTTCGAAGGTAGTAACGTACAGTGAGTAGCAAAGCTGTAACCAACAAAACGAGGGGAATTATAAACCAGAAATTGGCTATAACTGCTAGGGCTAGAGATGCTGAAAATATATCAAAGTGAAATTGATCCAATCAGTAGATGATATGGTTGACGACATGTGGAAAATATGAAACTCTTCTGCGAACAAATGCGGACCGTGGAGGGAAATTCTACCTGAAAATAACAGGAACAGCGACAAAAAGTCCAATGAAACGAAGGAGTATCGTTCATCCATAAAATATGTGTCCTTTGTAAACCGATTGATTATCATTCCTGAAATATGGGCCATAAGACAATCAAATCAGAAAATCACGTCCTGGGAATAAGATAACATAAAAGTAAAAGTCTACAAAACTTGAGGAAAATTATCAACAAAATATTGCCTATTGGATTAGTGTCAAAGAATCTCATTGGGGATCTCAGAATTGCGAACAGTGCATCATTGTGTAGTTTTTTCCCTGATCTGAAAGGAAACATATCAAATTTTTATGTATAATAACACACGTTAACAGAAATAGAGAACTGAAAACTTGAAAAGGAAATGGTTGAAGGCAAAAAATTTATATATTTCATTTGTTACCTAAAATAAAAACTTGGACAACAAGTGAACTTATTCCTACAAAATAATCTTGATATCAAGGTAAGATAAAAGTCGTCCTAGGATTAAACCTGTATATCAGTGATAAGTAAACTAATGCTCGTCCAATAAATAAAAAGGCAGTGCCAATAGCTAAGCCGACATATGTTTGATATTGCGATTTATCAAATTGGTCCCTTTCCTCTTCTGTAAAATTGATTCCAATTTCGTGTCTATGGTTCAACCTGATGTGAGTAGCATTAGACAATTACAATTTGCATTATCAATCAGTTGAAAAGTTCACGAAGAGATCAAATTACATCTTAATTGTTTTGATAAACAGATATTCAAACAGATAATAGTCATAGGATGATAATGCAAATTCACAAACCATTCGATAGCGTACTGTTGTTGATATATGCTGAGAATTTGAGGCGCTACCAGGGCAACCAATAATATGGGAATAGCAATGTATCCGATACTTAAAGTTGAGTATCTGAGGAGAGATTAACAGAGTCATGTGCATGAAGAAAAGTTCTTTATTTAGGTAATAAAGTGGAAAAATGGTACTTACTTTGAAAATGGACACTTTTTACCTAATTTAAGCTTAAGTACTGACTTGATGTAAAGCATCTTGCTCAAGGTACCAGTCTTTTTTTCTTCTTCATATTTAGCTGGCTTCTTCGTCTCATCTGTTTCTGAATACTGTGATGAATATCATGCAAAATTGTTTACAGTATTGAGCGAATTCAAGCAGTAAGTTTTTATAAGCATACCGTCTTTCAGCCGACAATGTGTTTGTAATTCAAATACCTCATCAGATTCAACGTCATCTGGTCCACAGGACAGTTTTGAAGTTGTTCTGTTCCTCCTGCGTTTATTTTCTCCAGAGCCAAAAATCGATAATGTCAATCCTAAAATAGAATTTCATCTAAGAAAATGATAAATTCATCCAAAAATAAGTTCACAAAAAATTCAAAATCATCTGACTTTTAGGACGAAGGTTTGTACAGATTACAAATAATACACCACCTTTAGAAAGGAGTTCAGAGTAGGTTCCTACGTGGCTTATTTTACCCACAACTTTGGTTTTGTTACCATCAGTTACAACCTCTGTATCCATGACAACTATGCGGTCAACTTCGCTTAAGAAGTGAGTGGCATGGGTTACAAGAATGCGTGTTTTTCCAGCTAGCTGATCTTTAATCAGTCTGAAATTGTGAGCATTCAGAATTAAGTTTACATTGGTTCTTTACTCTCGTTTAATAATAATGTAGTTAGGTTATATCGGAGGACTCATTAGAGGTTATTTTAAAGGACTCATTTATAGAGGACTCACTTGTTGAAGATGTGTTTAGCACATCTGCTATCTACAGCACTTAGAGGATCATCTAGAAGTATTATCGGATCCTGCGCTAAAATATGTTATCGGGTTATCTTACTATATATAAAGCGAGACGATAAATATGGATGGATGTGTTACTGTTTATCCGTACCATTTTACTAACACCACGGCATCAACTTTAACGCGACTTTCCACAAAAACCGTAAAAGATATACAACTGAAACTTTTTTGACTGGGTCAAACGCTTTAATGGCCTCCAAATGAGCATGAAAAAATAAAAAATTGGCCAAGGAATAGGAGTTTTAGAGCCCAAAGTTTGGACCCCCAAGTGGTGTCAAAAACGCGAATTAAATAGGTCATAATTATTTTAGTCTCTTGAGTCTAAACACCATTTTAGGGTTATACGGGTTCCTGCTAGTACTACTAAACTAAATAACCTTTATGAAGAAAAAAAAACTTCAACGACTGGAACAACGATGCTGTTTATAATTAATTCAATCATAAGTTAGACTTAGAAAACAGCAAATGATTTATTAACTAACCGTAAACAGCTCTAGCTAAGTTGACCCGAGCTTTCTGTCCCCCACTCAACTGAGTACCTCTTTCACCGACGACTGTATACAAGCCATTCGAAAACTGCTCTATATCCTACATAGATTGATTCATTGTAGCAAGATCAAAGTTATTTAAATTTATATATGTTGAGTTAGGGGGCCCAATAAAACTATAAAAATGTAACCTGAAATCCTTATTTAAAATTGAAAATGATAACTTACTTTTGTTAGGTAGCAAGACTCAATACATTTGTTTAACTTTTCCTTATCAAGAGGTCTATTAAACAAAATATTCTCTTCAATATTTCCTGCAGAAGAAAAAGCAATTTCCCTTAGTACCTTTATAGTGCACGGCAATACAAATATTTCTTTAACGTCTATTATAAGAATGAACTAATCATTAGAAAATTCTTAATTTAAGAAACTCTCATATTATCATTAACCAAAATACCGTTGAATATCCAAGGTACTTGTGAAGAAAATCCCACACTTCCATCAATGTTTAGAATTCCTTCGTGTTCTAACTCCTGTAGTATAGACATGAGAAGGGTTGTCTTGCCACAAGCAACAGGTCCTACTACAGCGATAAGTTCTCCTTTTTTTACAGTAAGATTGAGACCTGAAATTAAGGAACTCATGGCATCGAGTTTTCATCGTTATTTTTATTTCCCGATATATAATATCCAGTGCCAACCAGACATACAGAGCTTGTTAATTATTTTCTCCAGTGTGAATCTTAACAGTATGATTACCTCGATGTAAAGAAATTCAAGTATTTTTACCATTCAAAGAGAAGACATCGGGTCCCCATTTTGAAGAAAAATTGTCCAAAGTTACAGCCATTTCAATGCTTTCAGTCTTGACGCCTGTTGAAAGAATCATTGATAATTGAACTGCACATTTGGTGCTCAGAACATGTTTTTCGTCAACTTCAACAAACCATATACAGCAAAATCCCGATTTACCGCAAACCCCGATTTACCGCGGCTTTTTCCTTTCTCCCAAACTCTGCGGTAAATCGGGGTATTACTGTAGAAGGCAAAGAGAAAGGCTTATTAAACAGTAAACATGTATAGAATCTTCACCTGTTTGTAGAACTTTCAGGCCATGGTTCTCTCTTAATTCCGGTTCCTTGTGTAGGAAACTCTTATTAATAATTACCTCATTGGTAAGATTCATTATAGCCGCTTTCTTGTAGATATGCTTTATCTCGTCGGCATTTAAGAAGTCCTGAGAATTGTGTAATTGCTATTTGTATTTTGTACGTATTCATACAGTAAAGTGAAAGTGTTTGCCAATTTTAGGTGCTTTGAACAAAACTGGCAGTAACTTGGATATGCTTATCTGATTATCTGGGGAACGGTAGAAGTTAGAGTTGATTATTTGGCACGTTGTAAACCTGTAGTGGTCGCAAAATTTACTAAAATTTAGATTCCGATGATAATCCGTGTTATCTTTCACCCTCGACCATCCAATATCATGATCAAACGAAAAATATTATCCAAATAAATGTGAATTCCAACCTGGATTCTCCTAAAGGTTGTGATCAGTTGAGAAAAGTAACTGAAGGAGTTTCCGAGGAATATGTTGATATAAATTTCTAGAACATTGATGAGTGACAGGAAGAAAAATATCTCTGATGTCTTCATAGGTTCATCGACGTACATTTTTATCTGCAGAGTACAAAGATCAGTTCAGTTTGAATGTTTGATCTGAAACTCTTAAGGTTCCTGGCCTGCGAAACCTGTGACGTTAACATAGATTCTGTCGATGATCAGAACAAAATAAGGAATGACCAAGTCACCAACCGAAATCGAGAGAAGCAGTGCCACGACAGGAATGACGTAAAAGATAACACTGTTCATCGTTTGTGTCAGCACGAATAACCCAATAACTTTCGATTCTTTACGTCTTATCTGAAGTTTGCAATATGTATTATCAGTTGGTAAGCTAGATAGGGGATGAGCAATTGGTTGAAGAGAATTAATAGAGGATCCAGAACAATAGGACCTATCTCGATAATATCCAAATATAGCTAATATAATAACCGAGCGCTTTTTTCCATTATTTCTTGAAAATTACAAGACCCACCTTTCCTACAAGTTTCTTGAACATAAGCTCCCAACCGTACATCTTTATCACCTTCATAAACAGTATTATTTCGTGTATTATCTTAACTCGTCTGTCCGTCAACACAGATGCTTTCTCCCTGAATCGATAGAGTTCCATTATTTCATAATTGGTCAATTGGTTCCAAACCAACTTTCAATTTTGACATGTTGAAGTAAATTCTTAACAAATAATTTTGTCAGATGAATTCTGCGATTAGATACACTAAAAAGTGCACACTTTTCTCATTTTCCATCTCTACAATTTAGATACCATGACATTACCTCAAGTAAAGAACAATTCTCCCGATGCCAAGCTGAATAGGAACGCACAGTAACACAGGTACAAATGCAGCTAGGGTCGAGTATATCCCTAGTTCTGTGTATATTGTAGCAAATGCGATCCCTAGAGCTGACCACATATTAAACAGTGCATTTGCCACCGTTATGTTCTGAAAAAGTTTTAAATTGTAGGTTACGTTATGATTGTGTTGTAAGTATGGAATAGAATCTAACAGTTAGAATCTAAAAGAAATCAAAGCTTAAAAGTCTTAGTATGAACAGATAATTCGATTGAATTTAAACCACCTAATCGGCCTCTTTTATACGACTTAGAACCGATAAAAATATCAATTCCGATTGTTCATTCACCAAAATGGTAACTACTTTGCCACCTCTTCAGACTAGAAGGTGTTTAAATATTGTAATGTGATACCCGGTGGCTATAACATTTCCATCGCAACTTGTGCTTTTATGCTAGCTTTGTTTTCAGAAACTAGTGATAGGATCGAGTGCCAGATCTGGTCAAGAAGGAAGAGTAAATCGTTTTATTGGAATTAGTTTATATGGAAGTCCTTTAAATATTTAAACCCCTTAAATATCTGTTCGTTTAATTGAATACCTCGTCTAGTCGTTGAGCATCGTTAGTGATAAGGTTTAGAATCAGACCAACTGATCTCTCCCCAATCTCCCGTTGTGTTATTCTGCACGCCTGAGGGGAATTATTAAGGAAATGTAAGTACTATGTGCTTTAATTATATCCTGTCAAATGTATCATGTACTCTGTACTTTTATTATACCCGGTCAAATTTAGCTGCCCTACAATATAATTGGATAATACAATACAAAAATAATAAATAATTGACAATCATATATCTAAATGCAAAGTTCTGATTGTAGGCAAGTCTACTTATTACGTAGTGAATACTGAATCAGCGCGGTGGATAAAATAATTGTGTTATTTCAATATGGAAATGAGGATGCGACAGTTGAATGACCCACCTTTCTATACACGAGGCCCGTTACTTCGACCCTTAAAACAGTTCCTAGACGCATCATCGAATAGTATAAATAGCTTCTGAATCCCACCATTGTGAACATCATTAGTAATAAACAAACTGAAAATCGAAAGTGAAAATTGATGGTGATTTATCGGACAGCCATGAATGAGGAGACATACCTATCATACCTATCTTCGTTCAGTTCTCATAATGTTAAAATATTGAAAAAGCAGACCAAATTGTTCTTATATTGCAATTATTACAAATCCCAATTGGAGCACTACTTGGAATAAACCTTCCTAGCCTATCATTCCAGAAAGTTTGTATTACCTGACCACAGAAGAGCAGTCTGCTGCGTCATTTCTACAACGGGATCAAAATATGAAGTTATACGTACAACTACGAAAGGAATTGAACATCTAAAAGCAGCCTGAAATTAGTATTATAAGGGTCGCGCAAAATCGGAATAAAATACGGTCAATTCTAATGAACCATGTTTATGAAGCTCTCCATTCCATCGTCAAACTTAACACGATCAACTTGGGAATTGAAATATGAATAATTGATATACCTCGAAGTTGAATGCTACAAAAAGCCACATGATAGTAAACCAATGTCTTTTGAGAAGTGTAATAGCAAGAGATGGATTCTTGGATTTTTCGGCTTCTCGAAGCCATTGCCTGGAAAGGATTTCATTACACATCACCGTCATCAATAATTTCTCATTCTTACGCAAATTTTGGACGACTGGACGTGTCAAGTTTCAACATATTTTATGTATGTAGCATAATCATAATCATAATGGCATCATCCGTCCCATCGTCAAAGTTAAAAGTTAAACAAACTGTTCCAGAAGAGCAGTCAATCGCTCGCTCTGTAGTCTTGGGTCGATTGGGAACACATCATCCTCTGTTAGAGGCCTTTTATTTCCAGTTGTGAAAATCTTCTGCACCCACCTGACGATCGGATCGAAAAAAGGATATTATAATAATTTCCAATCATTGAATAAATTTGTCGGGAATTAAGTCCTGTAAATATCAGTTCACTGCGTAATCTACAAAATCATAAGGAATAAAGTTGTATATAATATATATATTATATTATATAAATAACTGAAAGGAATAGTCTCACCAGAATGTTATTGAACGGAAGATCCCAGCGTTGACTTCAGGATTTCCATTATTTACAACCATGGCTTATTAACCTAATTTTTTGTTAAAAGATGAATCTATGCAAGCCGAAGGGGTAAAAAAACTCAATTTTTAAACAAACTAACAGCTTGAATAACTTGAAACAGTGAGCCAATGTACGGTTAAATTCTAGCCTTCATTATCAGGGACAAAAGGATTTCGCGGCATGTACGAAATCGCGAAATTTCCCATTCTCCGCGACAAATTTTATGTATAGTTTAATGTATAACCTGTTAAATTTCGCGGTATCGCGAAATTTGGCCAAAATCGCCGCGAAATCCTTTTGTCCCTGTTCATTATGCATCAAGTGACATGTACCATGCATTGCTACGCTAAACATTATAAATCGCGGTATGGGCATAAACCACGCACAGAGGATTAAACAGAACTGGCGCTGAGAATGATAAATCTAATTAACCTCTGTCTGATAAGCTGTTATATTCTTCGTCATCGCCCTAATTTTGTGATATTAGATAGGAACTTTGAACCGTGGTATAAATAAGTTGCAGCGATTGCAGAGCCACACGATTTGGTGTACATTTTTTACATTTTATGCGCAATTTTGCGATAAAAATCCGAAATTCTGCGGGATCGCATAATTCGCGATTTAACAAATATCCTGGCAGGTCAATGGTTATACAAAATGGGAATCCTGAAGTCAATATTTACATACTCAGTCAACTGTCGTTACTAAGTCATGATAGAATCGAATTATTTTTATTAGGTCTACGATGTGTTGGTCCTTTCCTGGTAGCTCAATAGCGTCAATTACTTTGATCCAGCCGTTCTATAATGAAAACAGCCTTCCTCTGGTTAAGTTAGTTATATAGAGTTAGTCCAATTTTTTTCGAATGGGTAGAAGAGAGACATGTTTTTTCTGGTAAAATTGTAATCGAGACACGACTGAGGTACTCAAAGTTCTATTCCAAAAGAAAGCTTTAATAAACGGTAAATCATCACAATATAACTATATAAGAAGAGATTTTGGAAGATTTTTGAAAAGAAGCACACCAGTTCCCTGATGATGTTCCAAGCTTCAAGCAGATGGTTAGCTATGCGACGTGACTCCATCACCGTCCTAATGTCAATCATCGCCACATTCCTGATTGTCTCCTTGAAGAATGTGATCAGTTGCTGGACTATCCCTGGTTTATATTAACTTATTAATAATTTGATCGGAGGTTTTCAATGCTGTGTCCGGCAATATACTGAGACAGAAAACATGATGACTGCTGTTGAGCGGATAAATATGTTTGCCGATTTGCCTTCAGAGGCTCCTTTAGAGGTTACAGATAAGAGGAGAACAGTTGTATGTAATAAAGTGGCTACCAGTGGTGTAATAGAGTTTAGAAAAGTTAGCTTGAAGTACGACCCTGAGGGTGATTACATTCTCCGTGATCTATCCTTCTTAACCAAATCGTGTGAGAAGATAGGTATTGTTGGTCGAACTGGTGCAGGTAAAAGCACAGTACTACAAGCTCTCCTTAGAATGGTTGAACCAGAAGGTGAAATATTGCTAGATGGAATGTTGACTAGAGAAATGGGTCTTCATGAACTCAGAAGATCAATCAGCATAATCCCTCAAGAGAGTCTTTTGTTTACAGAAACTCTGAGTACTGTTGAGTATGATGAACAGACAAAATTGAAGGACAGTTGTACTAAGTGGTTCATTGCGCTGGGAAAAGAACTGAAAATAGACGACAGAGATATTGGTGGAGATATGGACAGAGAAATATTTATGGCTCCAACTGTCTATAAAAAGCATCTGGCACTTCGGCTTGTGGAAGCAATAGACCTCGTTCAACGGCATGAATGCCAGATGGCTAAAATGGAGGAGATCATATATTTCTTGAAGACGGAAGCGTTAGAAGACAAGGATAAGCTGATCAGGCTGCAGGGCCAGCTGCTTGTGCAGAAGGACAAAGAACTACAGTTGTTTAAGACGTCGGTTAAGGAGACAGTGCAAACAACGGTGGAGTCAGGGATTAAGAGCTACAGTGCAACTGTACAACAGAACAGTGCAAGTGGTACGGTCTGCAACAGTAACATCCTGAATAAGGTGATGAAGAGTGTGGCTGCAGAGGAGGACAGGAGCAAGAACCTGATTGTGTTTGGGTTGAAAGAAGAAGAGGGAGAACAGCTTCCAGCGCTAGTAACCGCAGTTCTGGAGGAGATTGGGGAGAAACCTCACTTCGAAGCGACTAGAGTCGGCAGGAAGAGGCCCGGTAGTACGACTATCAGACCAGTAAAGATCACTGTCCCAAGCTCAACAGCGGTTCAACAGATTCTGATGAAAACAGGAAGACTGAGGCTAGTTGAGACCCACAAAAATGTATGGATCTGTCCAGATAGATCTAGCGAAGAACGAGCAACGAGGAAACATCTGGTTACCGACCTGAAGAAGAAGAGGGCTGAACAGACTCATCTCGACCACTATATCCGGTACGGGAAAATCTGTAGCCGTGATAAGAAACCACCATGAAGCAATTCATGTCTCTCGGACACTGATCAGTATTTGAATGAGTATTGTGTATCTTAATAGTTTTCGGACGTTATCTGTATTTGAGAGACAATTTTATAATTTATATACGAGCTATTTCTTGATTGTTTCACACTTCATATTTCATAATTTGTTTCACACTTCATACATACATGCTACATGAAGAGGTCTCCTCCTAGTCGTTGGAGTGGCCTGCATCACACACATTTCTTCTACGGCGTAACATGTTCCTCCATTCCACTCGCTTTAGAGCCAACTGTTTTACTGCATCTCTGCTGATGTTATCGACACCTGTAAATTCAGCCGCATCCTCGAGTACACAGGCCATCCAGCCTTTGCGGGGTCGTCCTCTCAGTCTCTTTCCATAGTTTGGTTTCCAATCCAGTAAGAAATTGGGAAACCGCGTCTCTGGCATTCTGACAACATGTCCGTACCACCTTAGTCTAGCCGCACCGATGAAAGTTTCGATAGACTTAATTCCAGCACGCCTGAGAACTTCTTCATTGGAGACATGGAAGAACCACTTTATCTTCAAGATTCTTCTCAGGGAGGTCAGATGGAAGACCTCAAACCGTTTCATCTGCTTCTTTGTTGTGTTCCACACTTCGGCTCCATATAACAGAATAGTAATAACAGCAGCCTTGTAGATACGGATCTTGGTGGGCGTTCTTATAGTTCGACTGTTCCATATCTTCCAAAGCTGATGGAACGCACCATTAGCACGCTGGATCCTGATGTCAAGATCTCGGTCAATGGTACCATCCCCACTGATGTTGGCACCAAGATAAACAAAGTTGCTGACCTGTTCAACAGGTTCTCCCTCCACTGTTAGCTTTATACTGTCTCTTTCGGTGTAAGGTCGCTGGGACGCACACTTGCTGATCGCCATGCATTGTGTCTTTTTAGCGTTGATCTTCAACCCAGCATAAGAGGTGTAATAAGCTATAAGATCAGTGGACTCTTGCAGCCCTTCTTCAGTATTGTCCATCACTGCCAGATCATCAGCGTAGTCACTGTCCATGATAACTTTTTCATCTGCACCCTTTAGTTCCTTTTGCAGTACAGCACCATGACTGATTGCCTTGTGAACCTCGGCCAAAAAGATTCCAAAGTTCAGACAAAAATTAAATACAGGGGGGCCCTGGATATCACCCTGTCCAGTGCCCGAATTAACAGAGAACCAATCAGACATTTCACCATTAACCCTGACAGCACTCATGGTTCCGTTGAAGAATGCCTGAAAGATTCTAACATATTTCTCAGGAAGTCCATAGTGTCTCATGCTTGACCAAATAAACTCTCTTCTGATGGAATCAAACGCTGCCTTAAAATCAATGAAATTAACATAAAGTGGAATGTTAAACTCAATGCAGTTGTGAATAATGGTGCGGATGGAATAAATCTGATCAATACATGAGCGGTTCCGTCTGAACCCACACTGATTTTCCCTAAGAAGACACTCCATTCCAACATCCAGCCTCTTAAGAAGAACCATTTGAAGAACCTTAGAAGACGTTGCCCTAAGAGTTATACCCCTATTATTGCAGCAGTATGAGGTGTCTCCCTTCTTTCCGATAACCACTATAACACCTTTAAGCCAATCCTCAGGGATCACCTCTTCCTCCCAAACCTTTTTAAACAGTAGCTCTAGTTGGCCAACAAGAGCACTTCCACCATACTTAAGTTGTTCATTAGTTATCTCATCAACCCCTGCACTTTTGCAGTTCTTCAGTTTCTTTAGAGCATAACTAATCTCATCTCTAGAAGGAGGTCCATCAGAACAAGAAAGGTAGTCAAAACTCGGTTGTGAGGGCACACCATCGAGGTCATCAAGATTGGCATCCGATAGTGGAGGATTTAAGAGCTCAGTAAAGTGCTCCTTCCACCTTTCCTTCTGACTGTCCGGGTCTGTAATAAAATGACCATCCTTATCCCTAACTGACATACCCACTTTCTTCTTCTTTTTCCCAGAAATCTTCTTTATCTTATCCCAAACTTCCCTTTGCTGGCCTTTCTTAGAAGCCTCTTCTAGATCAGTCGCTATTTTAGTAGCCCAGTTGTTGTCGTCAATTTTACAACTTTTCTTAACTAATTTATTAAGTTTAGAGTAGGCTGATCTATTGACGTTTGAAGTGGGATCCCTCCGTTTGAACATTCCCCGTTGCTCTATCAAGTTCTTAGAGGTTTGCGAAAGGTGTTGTTCTTTAACCTTCCGGGGACGCTTTCCAAGCACACTTCATATTTCATAATTTGTTTCACACTTCATATTTCATAATTTTATTACTAGGTGGAGGTGACGTTATTGAGACTTTGGGCGGCCATAAACCTCGTGTTTTAAAAGTTGTCCTCTGTACTTGTTTCACTGACCCACGCTTTATAGCATTTATACTTTTCGGCCCATTTTATATGTTTGTTCGATTTGCTGTACATTTGTATATTTGCTATTTTGTAAAAGTTTCAAATCAAATCAAATCAATCTTGATCCGTTTTTTGCACTGGGCGACTTTGGGACCGGAAACTGATCCGGCCCCCAAAGAGGGGTCAGATCACGTCACCAATTAGTGACGTATAATTGGTGATGTGATCCATGGATTGAATTTAATTGACATAGAAATGGGCTAGATCTGGGGTAGAGTTCACATGTCAATTCTGTAAATCATAGCTGTACATTAAGAAGTAAACATGATCTGACTGCTCGACTCGTAGATCACATAAGGGACGGGAGCTCGTGCTAAAGTGGGGGTTCTTTGTATCACGTGGTGACCCCCACGGTCGCTTCACTATAGTAGCGTCTTCGACGCTACAGGGGGAGCCGCGCACTTCGTGCGCGGCGGGTCATACAACGTATGACAAGGGGTTCTCGTATCAAGGATGTGAGACGTACGTGTCAAAGGCATGCAAGGGGAGTGAGCCGATCTAGTGTTGAGTAGTGTTCTAGGTATAAATATTGGGTGATAGAAGGTAGTACTAGTAGTATATACTATATGTCAGCTGGTCAGAGACAGCTGTTGTGTCTCGTTAGAGCTTTACTGAAGGACAACAAGTTTCTGGTTATTGACGAGGCTACTGCTAATGTTGATGAAGTAGGAATCTTGGATTGAATTTAATAAGATATCAGGAATTTGTTAAAGATTCTGTAGTTAATACTTAATAGTTTGTATGATTAGAAATAATCAGTGGGATGCACTATCACAACAACGTTACATTAGTATAACGACTGTGTTCTTCAAGTGTTCAATGGACAAGTAATTTATACTGCTTTCTAAACATTGTTAGTTTTATACAGATTTATAACATATAAAATACTACCTGGGGACCTCAGGCTATCATGTTCATAAACATAGAGATTCGGCGGAATGACGGGCTGAGCGCGGCCCAGTAAATAAAATATAACAAAGCAAAACTAAAAGAGTTATAATTGGTTTTTGTCATGGCTGATGGCCCGGGCTCTTAATTGACAATGTGGATTCTTCGCAGCTCGGCGAGGCCCAGTTACGCATCGCGCTACAACCCGGGACCTTTCACCTTTGATGTATTTGAACAACCAAATATAAATACGAATTAACTATATTATATATTGTAATTACTATATCAATATGCTATAATTGAAATGAAAGTGTCACTGTTTTCAAAATCTATCCGTCAACTGTCATGGGTGTTTAGTGTCTTCAAAACTCGTGATAGGACCGTAATGACTACCCTATATAAGTCTTTGGTCAGAAGCCTATTAGAGTACTGTTGTCCGCTGTGGGACCCTGTTGAGGTGACAGTGACACAGATCCAGCTTTTGGAGGGGGTCCAGCGAACATTCACCGATCGTATATGCGGTCTGGAAAATATGAACTACTGGGAGAGGCTTTCACATTTTGATCTAAAGCTAATGTCACTGCAGCGCAGAAGGGAACGGTACACTATTCTGATTTTTTTACATTATAATCGTTTTTGTTTGGTTGTAATTTTAAGTGCTCGCTTATCAGTTATTTGTTGCTAAATTGCGATAAGTGAACGTGTGCCATTGTACATTTATTGTACAATACATCGGGTATACATTACACCATGGCAGGGAATCCACAGAAAAATGACAGTGAAAGTACCAAGATTATTATCGGGAAACTGATAGAAAAAGCTAACTCGTCTATCAGACCTGTTATTTCTGCTTTTGAATGTTTACAGTCTCGTTCAGTTAACCTTCAGCGACTTAATCAATTTACGGTTGGAATACTTGAAAGTTGTGCTGAATTTCTAGGAATTGCTCTTGCTGACAAGGACGATTTGAAGATTTTCACTAAGTCATCTCTTGCCAATCGCCTTTATCTTGGTTTTATGGCTCTGATGCCTGGAAAGTGTGGAGAGTGCGGTGATAACTACGTGATTGATCATGATCCTGAGGTCATGCCTTTTTTCAATTGCTTTAAATGTTTCAAAGGTTCACATTGTTGTGAAAGAAACAAAGAGCTACATCAGACCCTGTCAGCTATGAACACGCCGACAGGTTTTGTGTGGCTCTGTAACACATGTCATGGGCTAATTGATCCTATAGAACCTAGGAAACAGAGATCACGCCACACATCTTCTTCACTATCAGGAAATGTTTCTTCTGCTGACAGCCAGTCCTTGGACAGTTCAGCAGATGTTTCCAGTCTTAATCCTTCTAGTGTGATATCTTCGACCCAAATTCCATCTCCTGTGTTATCGCCTAGTTCAGCCACTGCAACGACAGCTGCAGCTACAGACTCTTCACAACCAGCCACAACTGTTTGTCAAGAGTTCCTAAACTGGAGTTGTCCACACGGAATCAGTGGAAAAAAGAAGATCAACGGGAACTCTTGCCCTTCTACTCATCCAAGGGTCTGCAATCAGTACCGAGCATCTGGTTTCACGGGAAGGAGTGGTTCAGTGGTTGTAAAGAAGGTAAAAACTGTACATTTTTTCACCCTGATATCTGTAGAACTGCACTTGAGAATGGTTCGTGTTCTAAAAAGGACTGTTTAAAGTTTCACCCCCGGTCGACCAGAAAGAGTACAAAGGAGCGTCCTGAGAGGGGAGAGCGTCCTAAGAGTAACACTCTTAACACGAATCAGAGGTACAGCAAACAGAATAGTGATTCCAATGCCAACACGAGTGATTTTTTAGAGCTACGAAACTTGATCACTGTCGTCCATCCCAGTCTCGGTGTCGGAAACTTACGACGACAGCATTTGCCAGGGGATCTTTAATGTCTACCCTTCTGCTAAACTTTGCATAGCAGTTGCTTATAGGCCACCTGACGCAAGCTCAAGTAGTTTCTCAAAACTAATTGATAGATTTACATTCGCTATTGAGAACCTTGCACCTAGTGGCTACGACGTCTTTATAACAGGCGATTTCAACTTTCCCCAGATTGACTGGGAAACACTAAACATCATGAGCGGTGGGACCTCTGATTCAAATCTCTCCGCCCAATACCTGCTAAACTTCATGTCAACCCATCTGCTGAGTCAGGTGGTTACTGTTCCAACCAGGGGAAACAGTACACTAGACCTCGTCTTGTGTAACAATGATCGGCTAGTATCTGATGTAACTTGTGAAGCAACAGAAATATCTGATCATGACATGGTTAATGTACTGCTATCCTTTAACCCTGGTCTGATGGAGAAGGCTCAGGCTTCATATCTTGACGAAATGAGCTTCCGAGCCCTAGACTTTAATCGGGCAGACTTCGAACCGATTACTGAGATCCTGAACAGAGTGAATTGGAAGGACTTGAGAGACGCAAGCACTTTTGAAGAATTTCCCGCAGAGTTTACACGGACAGTGCTTAATATATGCCTGGAAAATGTTCCTCGGAAACGACCACCAACTGGCCAGCCGAAGCTTTATAATTCGCTGAGAAGGAAGAAGTCACGACTTAAAACCCGTCTCTCTGCTGCAAAGTGTGCCAATGACCTAGCTCGAATCAAGAAACTTGAAGACGAAATTGGATTAATTTGCTATGAGATCAAGGAAGCTATAGTCCACCATCTTGATAAAGGTGAAAAGAGAGCAGTGGATAAAATTAAAGTCAATCCTAAATACTTTTACTCATACGCTAAATCTTTTTCTAAAGTTAAGCACAATATTTCAACTCTTCTAAACCGTGATAAGAAACTGGTAACTGAACGGAAAGAGTTAGCTAATATACTGCAGCAACAGTTCTGTTCTGTCTTTAGTGACCCCAACTGCCCTGATAAGTCACTACCTACATTTACAGTACCACCTCTCACTAGCAGGGATACAGAACTGGTACTCACACCTAACCACATCATGGAAGCTATATCTGAGATTAAGCTGGACTCTGCACCCGGACCCGATGGTATTCCTACTATTCTCCTCAAAAGATGTGCTTCAAGCTTGAGTGTTCCGATTCATCTCCTCTGGTCTGAGTCCATGTATACAGGCATAGTCCCAAATTTCTACAAGACTGGATATGTCACACCGCTTTTCAAGAAAGGTAGCAGGTGTGATGCTGCTAACTACAGACCGGTTACTCTGACCTCACATGTAGTCAAAGTCTATGAAAGAGTGGTTAGGAAACACATGGTTCAGCATCTCGAAACCAACAATTTGTTATCTGACAAACAACATGGTTTCAGATCGAACAGAAGCTGCTTGACCCAAATGCTCGATCACTTTGATGACATCTTTGAAGGGTTTACTCAGGGGAAAGACACAGACTCCATATACCTCGACTTCGCCAAGGCGTTTGACAAAGTTGACTTGGACCTTCTCTTGTTAAAGTTAAAGAGATACAGATTTCACGGCAAACTTCTAAGCTGGATCCAGTCATTTCTCTCTGACCGTGAACAGGTTGTAGTCCTAAACGGTGTTCATTCGGACAGTGCCAGGGTTCTAAGTGGTGTCCCTCAGGGAAGTGTGTTAGGACCACTATTGTTCATTTTGTTTATTAACGATCTAGAGCTAGCTGTTACCTCTTCTAAGGTAAGCTTCTTTGCTGACGATACTAGGGTCTCCAAACGTATCGATTGCTTTGAGGACTGCCTGCTGCTTCAGGCTGATCTGTACGGTATTCTCGACTGGTCACGCTGCAACAACATGAAGCTCCACGAACAGAAGTTTGAGCTCCTGAATCATCTCCACAATAGAAAAAGTACCTTTTCTGAACTTCCTTTTTACGTGGAAACTCTACTTTACAAGGTCTCCAGCGAGGAAATACTACATCCCGTTGAGAACGTTAGAGACCTCGGAGTTATGGTATCAAGCGATCTGAACTGGTCCAAACAGATCGGTAATATGGTCAAGAAAGCTAGAAGCACACTGTCATGGGTGTTTAGTGTCTTCAAAACTCGTGATAGGACCGTAATGACTACCCTATATAAGTCTTTGGTCAGAAGCCTATTAGAGTACTGTTGTCCGCTGTGGGACCCTGTTAAGGTGACTGAGATCCAGCTTTTGGAGGGGGTCCAGCGAACATTCACCGATCGTATATGCGGTCTGGAAAATATGAACTACTGGGAGAGGCTTTCACATCTAAAGCTAATGTCACTGCAGCGCAGAAGGGAACGGTACACTATTCTGATGATGTGGAAGATCCTTCACAATGTTGTCCCCAATTGCAGCAATATAAGGTTCACAAAAACATCCAGACATGGTACCCGAGCAATCATCCCTTCCCTGTCTAGGTTGAGTTCCTCGAGCAACCAGACACTCTATGACAGCTCATTTGATGTAAGAGGACCAAAACTGTGGAACAAAGTGCCTGATAATATTAAAGCTGAAGCTACGTTTGAGTCGTTTAAATTTAGTTTGTCCAAGTTTATTGCTTTAAAACCGGACAACCCTCCGACTTCCGGTTATAGCTGCAGCTGGTCTAATTCCCTGGTAGACTACTCGCCATCGAGGTGGTCAGAAATCTGATGACCCTTCCTGCTACGAGGATAAACACAACCAAAGTAACCAAAGTAAGTAACTGTTCTTATGACTTATCCCTTTTGAATTGCAATTAAAATAGATGGGTAATAATATGATTTGAAAATTGCAAATATTGATACAATCAAATATTTCGCCGAATCTTTATTCTGCGGAATATGTTTATGAACATTATATATTATAGCCTGGAGTCCCTAGTATAGGTAACCACAACGTGGAGCCAGGAGCAATGAGCATGTAACGGGCAACCATTGCACTTATAGTTATACGTACTTATACTTAAATCGTTAAAAACAAAAGCTTTCATTGATATTATATGATTAAATATTATGATTAAATGTTACCACCTACCATTGTTCTGTGTTCATTGTTAATGGACTAATATAACCCGGACTAATATAACCCGGCGCACGCTACTTCGAAAAAATTTAAACGAGTAACACCCGCCACCCGGCCGTCAGCATATACCACATTTAAAATGTTGCGATTGAAATCTAAATTTACTGGACGGTGCTTATGTCAACCTATAATTTTGTAGGTTTACAACCTACCACTACCAGGACGCGCGCCGAGTTGGACTCGTCGACGGTCGACGTCGACGGTCCAATATATGGAACAAATATTTTACGAGTATCACCCGTTAACCTATCATTCCGCCATATTTTCAATCAATGGTGTTTATAAACATAAACATTAACATTTAACATACGTCATACATGTAATAAACCGATAAACGTAAACATCAAACATGGGTTTTCATTGTATCACGTCGTTCACTATATAATGACTAAGTGGCCACGATATACAGCCATGCACTCGTAAGCGGCAGGTTTACAACGTGCAACGTTGAACGTATGACAACTAGGTTTTCAGGTAAAATTGAAATCAGCTGCACATAATTTTAAATTAATGCTCTAACCATAATTAAACCAAAGCCCTTGCGTTTGCAGTGGCGCGCGCCCGCCATCCAGCAATAAAAGTTTTCCACTTATATATATATTTAAATTTGTGAAATGTGAAACAAGCGCGCCTGCAGCCTGCAGTGGCTTACCTGGGGACCTCAGGCTATTATGTTCATAAACATATATGTTCCGCCGAATAGAGATTCGGCGGAATGACAGGCTGAGCGCGGCCCAGTAAGCAGCGGTGCGAAAGCACATAACATGGCCTAGTTAAAAAAGTATATAAGTATTTTATACAAAACAATTTTCAGATCATCCGCAATGCAATTTGCAATATTTTTGGATAAAACTAATAAATGATAAAAACCCAATTGTTTATAATACGTTTATTAAATTTAAAAATTATTTCATCATTTTTTAAAAGCTGCAGACACAGGGAGACTAAAGCTTGCAAAAAACTGCTGCTGACTGCTGCTGACTGCGGCTAACTGCTGCATGAAAGGGCGCGCGCGCGTGATAGCAGCAGTTAACATTGTATCACGTTGTGACCCCCACGGTCGTTTCACTAAAGTGTAGTTTTTACAATGCAGGGGTTGCTCTAACCAGAGCCCTCTCGCTTGCAGTAGCAAGCGCGTCACGCAGTACGCGTAGACACATGGCTATGTGAAATGCAGGGGGAGTTTTTACGATACAGGTGGGTCATATATATACAACGTATGACGAAGTTAGCAGCAGTCACACTCCTGCGCGCAGTGTTGTGACCTCCCTTCGTCGTAATTAGCTCGTATTCAGATTGAACAATTTTGAAGTCAAATAAATGTTGTTTCTTTTAGACTTAAATAAACAATATAGATGTAGTCCGAAAGTAATTTGTCTACTAAATAACATTTTGAAACTATGAACAAAATTGGCGAAAATTTGCCGTAGATGTGACCAAAAAACTACGCGCAGAACTAAATATTTCTTCATAGACGCGTGAAAATTTTTGAGTTTAACATTGAATATTTTAGCTTGGTTATTGTAATACTTAATTTTCAAGTCTCTATCCGATAACTAAATATTTTATCTTTACGACAGTATAAAATTTGTTTGTATATTTGCTAAATTAAAAAAACAGTAGGAATAGAAACGTCGAAGGTCTTGCGCTTATTTCAGTCCCAAAATATACTCTAATCATAAACTTCATAAAACCCACTGAAAATGATGTCTACAGGCATATTAAGCCCTTACACCTTCCCAAATCATTTAGCAAGGATTCAGAGCCAGTTTTTAAAATTAGCTTTCGAATATCATTGTTAAGACATAAAACTATAAATAAATGAGTGCCTTTTTCTCTTTCGTCTCGATAGTTCCTCTTTCATTTTAACATTATACATTAGTAAAAGCAATCAGCGATCTTTATTAATCATTGAAGGAGTAGAGTAATTGGTCCTCGTCAATGTTTAGTGTCTGATTACAGTTTCGGTCCGACCTCCACAACTGAAAAGATATTGGGGGTATTATCAGTTATGTAAATGGAAAAATTATATTTGCATCATAAAACTATGAAAACATTGAAACTAATGTTTTTGAAGGCTCGCCTATTCGTTTAAGCAATCAAATAGTCAGTGCATGCACAGTAAAGAACAGTTGAAGGCACCGGGAATGTTTCAAATATAACCTCTGTCTACTATCAAGTATCAGACCACACACTCCACTGTCCACTATGTACTATAATGTACAATGGCAATTAAAATGTGTTCCCGCCATCTTAAAATGCGCACATCTTGCGCCGTGACCATAATGGTCACAGCGCATGCTGGTGAACGGAGGTAGGCTGGTGAACGAGTTATTGGGACAAAATTGGAACATTTTGGAACATTGGTTACATCGGTTGTAGACATGCAGTGATTCCCAAACTTGGTTTGAGTGGTCCTAGGACCAATCTAAACGCTTTCCGGCCAGTTTTAAACCGTTCTGAGCACTTTTAGTTTTAGGAGAATATTAATTTTTGTTCATTTTCGTGCATTCCATGAACCTGGGTAATTTTCATGCTCATTGGAATTTAGAAGGTAAAATAACTCACATAACAGTGCTCCCGACAAGTTTCACGGATATAGTGATTGAGTTTCTAGTCACCTAGCCTCTTGGCCTGAAAGATTTCTTGTTCGGCAGGGTGACTGCTTGAACGTCAACTTCAACCTTTCCCACTGTGCACTGCATCGAATCGAGGTAGAGTTGTTAACTGAAATATTACATTCAGTCTAGCGACCTTTAACATTTAAATCTGGGTCAAACTTAGTATTTCTGAAAGTTTCGCAAAATTTTATTGATTACAGAGGGTGTGTCACGCCACTCTCTCCTTAAGATCTTGCAGATGTTAGCACCATACCGTACCTGTTCATTATAATAGCCCTAGACTATTGCATGAGACAAGCCTTAAGCAAGCACCCTGAAATAGGATTTACCATTAAGCCTTATAGGAGTAGGAGAGTCAAGGTGGAGAAGATATCATTCACTGGTTTTGTGGATGACATTGCTCTGATAGCAGATACTGAAAAGGAGACAGAGACGCTGATGCAAGAGATAGAAAGGGTTGCTGCCACAGTGGGACTTAGAATGAATGAAGGGAAAAACTAAATTCATTACTCAGAACATCGAGAACCCTGATACCATCAAGTCTCTGGGTAACCATGCTGAAAGAAAGCCTGTCTCTGAAGAAGGAGAGACGATAAAAACGTGATACGATACGGTATGTTGAAATAAAGCCTGTCTCTGAAGAAGGAGAGACGATAAAAACGTGATACGATACGGTATTTTGAAATAAAGCCAGTCTCTGAAGAAGGAGAGATGATAAATACGTGATACGAAACGGTATGCGAAAGCTATGTAGTTGATCAGACTTAAAGTTACGTGTTCTTAAGAGGGTGAGAGGTTCTTTAGTAAGGCCGACTGATTAAATGAGGCTCTGAAATGAACAGGAATCTAGCAATAATAGCATGGAGAGTGGGGAAAATCAAAACGCGGAATAATAATCTAACTCTAAGTTAACGATAAACTGGTACAGAAATCAAAAGTCCGAACACGGAGTCTAGGAGTAGGAAATAGCTGTGAACCAAACAAACAGAATGGCACCCGTGCATGATATATTAAAATATGTACCGTTCTAGGATGCCTCCGCAAACTTTTGCTCCTCTGTAAATGCACGTGTTAGTGCTGTAGCGAAAGCTATGTAGTTGATCAGACTTCAAGTTACGTGTTCTTATTAGGGTGAGAGGTTCTTTAGTAAGGCCGACTGATTAAATGAGGCTCTGAAATGAACAGGAATCTAGCAATAATAGCATGGAGAGTGGGGAAAATCAAAACGCGGAATAATAATCTAACTCTAAGTTAACGATAAACTGGTACAGAAATCAAAAGTCCGAACACGGAGTCTAGGAGTAGGAAATAGCTGTGAACCAAACAAACAGAATGGCACCCGTGCATGATATATTAAAATATGTACCGTTCTAGGATGCCTCCGCAAACTTTTGCTCCTCTGTAAATGCACGTGTTAGTGCTGTAGCGAAAGCTATGTAGTCGATCAGACTTCAAGTTACGTGTTCTTATTAGGGTGAGAGGTTCTTTAGTAAGGCCGACTGATTAAATGAGGCTCTAAAATGAACGGGAATCTAGCAATAATAGCATGGAGAGTGGGGAAAATCAAAAAGCGGAATAAATAATCTAACTCTAAGTTAACGATAAACTGGTACAGAAATCAAAAGTCCGAACACGGAGTCTAGGAGTAGGAAATAGCTGTGAACCAAACAAACAGAATGGCACCCGTGCATGATATATTAAAATATGTTCCGTTCTAGGATGCCTCCGCAAACTTTTGCTCCTCTGTAAATGCACGTGTTAGTGCTGTAGCGAAAGCTATGTAGTTGATCAGACTTCAAGTTACGTGTTCTTATTAGGGTGAGAGGTTCTTTAGTAAGGCCGACTGATTAAATGAGGCTCTGAAATGAACAGGAATCTAGCAATAATAGCATGGAGAGTGGGGAAAATCAAAACGCGGAATAATAATCTAACTCTAAGTTAACGATAAACTGGTACAGAAATCAAAAG